CATGACAGCGCAGTTCGGCCGGGGCAAGACCGGAAACTTGCGTAGAGGCAGGACGGGAAAGTGCCCTAGCTGCATGGCAAGGTTACTTGGGGTTCTGCAGTAGGCTCGAAGGAGTGCCGTGTGAATTCTTGCGTGATGCTGTTTTGGCTGCAAGACCGAGATCTCAAGGCAACAGTTGGCCAGACAGAGTAGCGTGGACACCATGAAGACTTGTGACAGACCCAGGAACTCAAAGAATCCAGGAGGAATGAGCAAGAGGGGACAGGGAGAAAATGGAACGACTCGCCGACATGCTCAAAGCACGAGCCGACAAAAGTATGCGCCGACTGCGAACAAACATGTGCAGACATGCCAACAAATGTGCGCTGCCGACATGGCAAAAACACGCACCGACGTGCCAAAACTCTAAGTGGTACGCCAACACGTCAAAAGCATGCGCCGACATGCGAAAATGCGCGCCGACGTGTCAACATCGACCTCGCGGAGATAATATCTCGAAGTGTGGGTGTGTGGGTGTCTGTGTGTGTGTGTGTGTGTGACAGCGAGTTTCGAAAGAACCGCCAAGAAACAACAAACAATGTAGTTGTGCCAGCGTAGACTCCAAACAGTGAGAGACCATTTGAGCCCAGAAGTCGAACAGTAATTGTAAATGCTTGCGCGCGCCGCCTCGGCAGCCGGGCCGGCCCCAGGACAGGAAAGGAGGAAAGAGGGTTTCGCAAAAAAAGGGGAGGAAGGGCAGAGGGTGGGGGGGGTGGTGGCGGGTTTTGGGGGGGGGGGGTGGTGGGGGGTTTTTGGGGGGGGGTGGGGGCGGGGGGGTGGGGGGGGGGGTGGGGGGGGGGGGGGGGGGGGGGGGGGTTGGGGGGGGGGGGGTGGGGGTGGGGCGGGGTTGGGCGTGGGGCGGGGGCCAACGCCGCAACCTTAGCTCCACTCGATTGCCTCAGTGCGGTTCTTATGTTTAGAGAGGTTCTCCACACTTTTGGTGAACTCCATTTGAAGAAATCTGGGGGAATAGCGCTTGCATTGCTTTGCTCCGAGCACTTCAACATTAAGTCTAACTTGTTAGCATGATTTTTCTGGCCGAATCGTGCTCGCAGCTGTGCGGACTCTGGGTTTCACTTGTCAACCTCCTTGCGACGTGCAGTCTGGGAAGGTTACAGAAAAGCTGAGGCGCAAGGAGGATTTCGATGCATATCATGTCCATGTTTAAAGCAGTGCACTCTGGCAGAACTGCGGAGTTGATTTTTTTTCGGAACGTTAAAGAGATCCCGCACAGCACCTTGAGAGAATGGCAAGGAGTTTGAGGGTTTTGGAGCCACCGACAGGCGGGACCCTCTCCACGGCATCGGTGCAGCTCCTCCAAGCGATTGGGCGGGGTCCCACAGGGCGGGGGGGCGGGGGGGGGGGGGTGGCGTCAGAAAATTTTGCATAGGAAGGGTTGGGTTAGGGGGAAGGAGGCCCGATCCGGGTCTGCTTGTTCCAGACGCTTTTCGGCAGGAAGCCGAGGCGAATGACAGATTCGCATTTCACGAACCCTTGATGTGAGCGCATGTGAGCAGGGCTGTTCTCGACCATGCAAACCTGCCCAGGAACAGTCACCTGCGATCGCGATCAACGCGTAGAAGAACCACCATGTCACGCATGCGTGAGACACCAGGCTCGCAGAAAATCTGAAGAAGTGGCAGCTTGGGCCTTGCTTCGTGAACCGGTACACGTTCGACAAGTTAGGACGTACATTGACCTGCTAAGGAATCAGGAGTCCAGTGGGTGGAAAGGTTCGGCATGTTTTGAAACTGAGGACTTTCGCCGACCGGAAGACGCTGGTGAATCGTGTGACGAATTTTACACCCCTCACTCCGTGCCTGGGCTCCAGAATCAGGACCGGCTCTCTTTTTCTTTCTGTGAGAAGGCAGCCCAGGCCCCAGGCACCACCGGCATCCACCGGCACCATTCTTACACCTTGCATGGGGAACTAGCACTAATACGTTGCATCGACCTCGGGGCCCAGCGGTTGAGTCTGCCCTAGGTCTTTAGAGTTTAGAGGTTTTGGGTCTCTACGAGTATGTGTAGGGCCTGGAGAATTGGGGCAGCTTCTAAGAAGCTTCTGGAATGTTCAAGGTTTCTTGACCAGGGAGCCTTCCAGCGACAGGGGGGTCATCACGAGCGCAGCTTCGGTCAGCAGCCCGAAGATTCCTTAGAGTGCTCGGCGAGGCCAGGGGTTCGCACCGGGCCTCCAACAAGTCCCAAAAAATGTCGGGTCCTGTTGGGCCCTTAGCAGGTCACGAAGGCAGGACCCAGAATCTTCCGAGATTCGAGACGGGACTCTTCCACATAGGCTGTGGCCGAGGTGCATCTTCTACGGGCTAGGGCCAAGTGACCAAAGGTCTCCTCCCAATCTGATGGGGGTGAATGCGGATACAGAACATTCTCTGCAAATTTTGAAAGCTCAGAGATTCATCAAAGCCCCTGCAGCAAAGGGTGCTTGCACGGGAGATGACCCACATCGGTGGCTTGGACATGTTGCTACGGGCCTCCCGCGCCACTTGGAACTGCATTGCAAGGATCCTACAAGTACGATTTGGGCCACCGCGTAGAGGAACAGTGACGCTGTTTTGTCGTTATCGGACACGTGACTCTGGAGTGCAGGAGGCTTTGTCAGGGTTATGCCAAACTTCACGTGGCATTGTTCGTTTATGCACCTGGGTGGTTACTGAGGAGTGAGCGAACCCGCGGCCGACGCGGGGTGGGGTGCTGGAGGGGCCCACCTCAGTCCATGCGGGGGTGCAAGGGGGGGGGGGGGTGGGCCGGGGGGTCGGGATGGGGGTGGGGATGGGGGAGGGGACAGTGTTTAGGGAGCGAGGGTCCGCGCAGCTTGCGGTCCTGGCAATTAGGTGGGGTCGGCAAGGCGTTCCTTTGGCTTTCACTTCTGATATCGAGAACGCCTGGCGGCGAATCAGGGTTTCCGCTCCCCAAAATTGTTCGCAGATGCTCTGAGTCGGTGCGGGGCGTGAAAATCTCGACATTTGTCGACTCCTTGCATAGTAGTCAAATAGTAGTCGGGTACGAGAGGAAGGGGGTGGCGGGGAGGGGGGGGGGGGGGGGGGGGGGGGGGGGGGGGGGGGGCAAGACACGGTCACTGTCCAGGTGGCCAGCCCAAGCGGACTTCTGCAAATAAGGCTTAGGGCCAGGGTGAATGGTTGAGAGTTTAGGGTAAGACGCCGTCACTGTCCAAGTGGCGCACAGAAGGATCACTGTGCAAGTGGTCCTTAAAATCACTATTCACACAGTGGGGCATTGTTTGTCTCACCGCCTGGCATGCATGAAGCAATCAGAGAAATGCCACTAGCAACATATATTTGTTTTGGTCATCGCCTCGCTTGCATCAGACTGTCAGACCACCCAAATCACCATTAACAATTGTTTTTGATCATCGCCGGGCCCTTTGTAGGTCTGGCCCAGGGTTTCGGGCTTAGGGCGCTAGGGGTTCAAGGTTCAGGGCCTAGGGGTTCAAGGCCCAGGCGGGGATATGGCAAGTGAAGCACGTATGCAGAAGCAACCAACGACAAAAAGTCCGGACAAAGCAGCCCAAGCTGCCGAGAAAGCTGGCTTGTGGTGAACATCGCAAGTAAATCATATAGACTATCAACCAACGCCAAAATACAGGACGCGGCATCGCAAGTGAATCATACACAGAAACAACCAAAGCCAAAAAGGCAGGACAAGGCATCCGAAGCTGCCGAGACAGGTCCCGTCTTTGTCGTGTTTAAGCTCAAAGCACATATACAAACAACCAACGCCAAAAAAGCAAGGCAACCACGATCCGAACCTGAGATGAGCCCTTTTTTATGTCTTGTCGGCTCCGTGCCATCTGAAACCCTGGAGTTTGGTAGAAAGCGTAAGGAAAGCACATACAGAAACAACCACCGCACAAAAAAGGACCAAGCACCCAAAGTTGCCGAGAAAGGCCTTTTTGCTTGTCGTGTCGAAGCTCAACTCACATGGACAAGCAACCAAGGCCAAACAAAGCAAGGTAAAACCAAAAGCTTTTACGTGCTAAGGTGAAGAGTTGAGGGATTTAGGGGTTGAGGGGTTTAAGTTCCAGGGTTAGGGATTACATCTGATGCTCATGATGCTCAGGGGGTTTCTTTTCTTATCTCGGCCGAGGCGAAGAGGCAATAGGCGGCAATAGGATTTGCCATAAAGTTGAACCGGTGGATTTACGGGCATGGAACACGCTCCTGGCTGTACTCATCGGCCCACCAGTGTAGCCCAGTACAGTCGGTGCCGTTGCTGTTCCTATTGAAGTGTTGCACGAAGAAATGTGATTGGGTCATGGGGTCATAGAGTCGCAAAGTACAGTAAGTGCAATCCGTAAGTGCATCCGTAAAAGTACATCCGAAAGTCCGAGCTTTGCATTCTGTCTCGCTTGAGGTAACTCAGCTCTCGCAGAGTGCACCCTCGAGCCCCTGGGCCGACGGCTGCTTCCGAGTGCTTGCCGCCTGCCAGTGCCTGAATGCCTGGCCCTCAAACGTTCTCAAAGAGTGGGCCAGTCACGGGCGTTTGCATATGGTGTTTCATGCAGTCCCCCCCTAAAGGCTTTGGGGTTGAGTCGGGCAAGGTTTTTGGGTTTAGGGTTGAAAGGGTGTAGGATGGGACATGCTAGGGCGCAGTAAAAACTGCAGGAGAAAGGAGTATCTGACGAATCTTGTGGCTACAGGCTTCTTGACAGCCCCTTAAGGGGGTCAGGTATCCAAGGACCGGCCTTCAAGAGCCTTCAGTCACTTCTGAACACGGCAAATTCCGCATCGTGGCCACTGCGGAACATAGTCTGGAATCATCGAACCTCATCATGTGTGCATAGCTGCACAACGTATCATACCATAATCACATTGTAATCAAATCGTGCAGATTCAGGTTCAACCAACCCCCCCTCACAATGGGCCAAACCTCCATCTGTTCACCAGGCATATGGCTTCTGCTTCTTCGGCTACAACATTTTCCCGATGCTCATCTCGGAGACGGGACCGAGCTTGGATGTCATCAGTGTGCTCTACACCATAGAGGGGCTGCTGCAGGTCGGGCTTCTGACGCTCAAGCTGCTTGTTTTGTGGCATGAATCCTCACCTGACGCTTTTTGGCCTGCATGTCACCCCGACAGGCGGTCATAGTCGTGATCATCATGCCATGGTTGGACACGAACATGTTCTGGAAGTTCTTCTTGTCAACATGGATTATTCTCATGGGCCCGCCGCTGGCAATTTGCGCACTGGGCAAAATCCACTGGGTCTTCTATCTGGTGACGAGCCTGGTCTTGCACAGGTTGAGAGTTTGATGTCGAGACACCATGGCGACACAATGGCACAGGTCCTAAATCGAGCCCTGCGAATGTCTGAAGATTCACCGTTCGATTTAATCATATTTTTGCAAACGCATCCGTCACTTTCGAGGCTGCTTCTGGTGGATGTGGCGATGACTGTCGCGACTGGTCTGCTGAGCGTCGTTCGGCGCACTTGGATCTCTCTTGGGATAGGTTCAAGCTTGGGACATCCGAGAGGAGAATGGATGTTTCAGGGCTGACGTAAATGACTGTGAGGAAGATGCAGTGTCAGGCCTCAATAAAGCCTCTGAAGGTCCTGCTGCTGCGGTCCATAGCTTGGGAGCACATCAGCACCTTTCACAAGCAGGCAGGTGCCTTTCGGGCCTCCTTGGCACAAGTCTGTGGCTATCTGTTAGCGGACATTTGGGCGTGTGTGCATGTGTCCATGTGTACAGAACCAGGGCCAAGGATGCCTGGTGAGCCCTCGTGCCCAATGGCTGCAGCAAACATGCTTCAACGGCATGGCCCGCGACGCAGGTCTCCACCCTCGCTGGGTTCACCATCGGGGCCCTGCACTAAGTCTCCCCAAGCGTTGGGCTAGAGACCTCCCCCTCAATACAATGACTTTTTCGTGTGCACCAGAATATGCGCTGTGCAAGCTGCAGTCTTCTGTGCCAAAAGGGCGCATTGCGCAGGGAAATGTAGCCTTTCGAGGACCTGAAAGTGACAGCAACTTTCATCGAGCAGAACTGCGGAACCTATTAGCCGCCCTGCCGAGGCTTCCTACGTTCAGATGCCACTCAAGTCAGGTGTCGGCAGCTGGGAAGCCGCCTCGCTTATCGGTCACGGCGCCATCGCGTTGTTACTTCTGCTAGTCTATGCCACGCACCGTGCGACCCCCAGAGTGCTGAGTGCTGCAGAGAGTGCGATGTCCCTAGCAGAAGGATGTCACAGCTTGGTCTATCAGGATCTGCTGCTGAGAAGACACTGAGTACTTCGTGTGCGCTGTACAAACACTGGAATCCCCCAGTGCATCCGTAGATCACATGTAGATCACGCCGCCCAGCCCAGCACTGAGCCAACACTTTGTGCCTAAACGCCAGTGGCCCCCCGCCCTAGGTAATGCAATGCGCAAGTTTTGGGACGACCTTGCGGAGCCAATCCAGCTGCTTTGTTCAAGCAGCATTTGAAGCAACACATAGGCGATCGTGCCGAAGGCGGCAGAATCCATGGAGATATAACACTGGACGACTCTGAACCTCAAAAGGAGGCGGCGAAGCACTGGAATCCACAAGCAGCGGAGTTGGCCAGGTGTCAGATGTCCAGGTGGTAGGAATGTGTTAAGCGGCGCCAACCATCGTTTTCCGGTTTTCCAGAAAGCTGGTCAAAGTTAAGTGACGTACTGCGAGTCTGTGTTTCCATCTTTTGGTTGTCCTCAAGTCAGAGCCTCTCAGATCACAAGGAGGGGCGAGAATGGCGACATGGAGGAGGAGGACCTGTCGGAACTCGAAGAAATTGACGAGGCTGGTAGTGTGCCGTGCGGGGCCTTTGGCCCCTTGTTTAGAGAAAGGGACAACATCAACTTCAACTCCACTGTTTCGACAGCTGCTCATTTTCCCAGCAAGATCTCTTAAACTCGACACGGATCTTTTCAAAGGGGTTCCACTATTTGGCATCTCTACTACAAGCTTTGAATACATCACAAACAGACTACATCGACCCTGAGCTGCTCTCTACAAAAAATTGGGGGGAGTAAATGCCCTTGAAACCTTTTCTGAAACGATGCCGCCCCCACCTCCGATTGACTCATTGAGGAAGAGCTCGGGGAGGACCCGCCAAGCCTTGTTCGGATGACGGAGCATGAGCGAAAGACCGCAGATGCCAATTTACCTGGTCTCTTAGAATAACAAGGGGCCCAGAGATATCCCATTGAGCACTCGAAGCCTTTCAAACCCCGAAGCTTCAAAGACCTTCAACACGCCTGCGTGTAGCATTGGCTCCTAGGCTTCAGCCCCAATGCAATGAATTCATTCGTCGGACGAGGCGACGAGCTAGACGAATGTTCGTTTTCTTGCTGCAGGGTTGAGGTTTCCTGTGAGAGCAGAAGCAGTCGATTCTCACAGTCCTGAAACAAGTGAAGAGCTTATCCTGGTGTCTTGCAGATTGGGTACTGCGCACACCATTCTCAAACCCTCTGCATGTCGAGGTTTCCTCGGGTTGCCGAAGCGCCCGTATCACATATCAGGGCCAAGAGAGAGCCACGCCCCGCCTCACCCACAACGTCTCTGCAAACAGCTTGGACAACCTAGACTCGGGAATCTCGATGTAGGTTGCACCTGCGTGCTCGCCCATTATGCAGGTGCCCGAAAATTCATCCGAAGGCCAGACTTCTTTTCATTGTGCCAGGCAATGCGATGCCTCTGGCCATGCAACCCATGCGAATTGCATGTGGGTCCTGGATGGTGTGGGTCTGATAATTTTTTGCTTAGCTATTCTCCTCGCCCGGGTCACCTGGCCTCAAGTCAAATGTGTAAGACCTAAGAAGGCTTGAGGTGCATCCCGGGCGATGCGAAAGCCGAATCATACTGCAAGCAGCACGTGCCAGGCATTGCCAAGCAGCTGCCAGGCAGAACCGTACTCGAGTTTTTACCGTTCGAAGCGTCATTCAGGCGGCGCTTTCGAAAAGGTTTCAGCCCATCGCCAACCGAAAACAACTCGATGACAGCTGAGAAGCACACGAGTGTCCCCAACAGGTGACATTAGCAGATAGGAGATCATGTCCGGCCCCCTCGCCTCGGCATGTGGCATCTTTAGGTGTTGTGGGAAGCCCAATTTTTTGCAACAGAACTGGGAAGTGGGTTGTTGAAGGGCTGAGTCGGGGCTAAGTACTTCGCAGGTCAGGTGATGTCGGCGAAGCCTACGGCCCTGAAGCCACTCTATCCAAAGGTGAAGCCAAGGCGACTCTAGACCTCGGAACCCAAATGCCACCAAAGGGTTTCCAAAGCTCCTGAGGCAGGTGCGGGGAGGAGTGTGGTCCACAGTAGGGTCGCTGGGTTTATGGGTCCATAGGTCTATCACAGCAAGTCCAGCTCTCGTCACAAGATCGGAGGGGTGCATGGCAGGAAGGGCAGGCTCCATAGGTCCGTAGAGGTCCGTAGAGGTCCGTATAGGTCCATGGGAGGGTTTTGCAGTTCTAGGGGTCCATGGAGGTCCATGGAGGTCGGTTGTTACGCCGAACGCCTCAAGCCTGGGACCTCGGCGGATACCACCAATATCATCGCCGTCCAAGTCCAGGAACTTTGTGCAAGGCTTCGAACCTTATCATGTTAGAATGTGCCTATGGCTCTCAGGTCATATTGAACGCCAGCCAGTGAATGCGGACAGTGTAGGCTTCTTATCAAGGTCCACGATGAGAAAACGGCTGTTGCCTTGACTTGTGGAGCAGCAAAAGCAATAACAACTAGTTGCACGGAGCATAGTATCCAAGCTCGAATCCCAGCAACTTGAGAAGGGTACAAAAGGTTACTGCAGCCCAAGACTGCCTACTGACCACGATGCTTGCAACATAGATTTCAGCGAGTCCGTCCGCGAGCGGGCTTCAGCGCGGGATGTGGGAGAAGGCAGATGACGCTTTTTCGGTTCTGTGCAAGTGGGTCATGGTCGCTTCGCGACGCTTGGGGCTTTACTCTGCTCGAGCTTGAGGTCTCGGAACGTGCACCTGATGAGAGTGAACGAAGTGAGGCCTATTCCCTGTGCATAAGGGCCAATGTACACAGGTGACCTTTTCGTGCCATCTCTGCAGCACTCACGTTTGCATCGTTGTAGGGTCTTGGAGTTGCTCGGGTCCTGGCAACATGTTTTTGTCAGCCCCAACCGCCTCTTTCAACGGAGGGCGTGTGTGTGCAATTATCTGGAGCGATTTCTGCAAAGATGGCGGGGCTCGCATTCTGGTAAGGGTGCCTTCCAAGCATCTCGCAACATACGTAGCAAAGTCTGCCATGCTGGTCATCGCAGGGCGCTCTCGCCATTTGAGCAATGATGTCGTGTTTTGAACAGTGCTGCTTGAAAGTTTGTCGCGCGTTTTGCGTCTGAACGTTTCGCACGCTCAATGCAAAGAAGGGTTGATGTCGCCTCTGCCGAAGCCTTTTTGTTCAATCTTGGCGAGTGTTTACAGGTCCGACAGGTCTGCGTGCTGTGGCTGGAGCCATGATGACGCGTGTGGTTTCGGGTGCCACTCTGGTTGCTTGCATGTTGGGCGCTTCGGCCTCGAGTGTGGCAGCGCCAGGCTGCACGTGCATCTCGCACGGCCAGATGACGGAGATGGTCGGTGGCATGAAAAAAGTTGAGGCCAGCGTCGGGGGAAGCGATGTCATGTACCCTGCAAGTTATGGCAACTATTGCGGCAAGCAGTCGGAGCCTGGTGCTTCCGCATGCTTCAACCTCACTAGTGGTGAGGAGCTTCCAGCATCTGAGCAGGCAGGCTGGTGCAACGACCCATGGTGTTACGTGGCTGGGTAAGACATTTGGAAATTTTGTATTTCGCATATTTTGCCTTATGGGGTTTCTAGAGGGTCATATTTGGGAATGTTTTGTTTCAGAGGTTTCACGGACGAACCTAGGTGGATCCTTGCACCTGTCCTGTGGCCGATCTCGCGCTTACGAGCTACTTCCCGGGCTCCAAGCTTTACTACTCTTACTCGAATTGCGGTGGGGTGGACACCTTCTCTAGCAGCAGCAGTTTGAATGTTGATGCTGGTTGTGCCGCGAACTATACCCCTGTCACAACAGGCACCTGCCTGTTGAAGATGTCCAATGGCCAGTCGAAGGTCGACTGCACCGCAGCCTTTGCCAAGGAGGGCAAGTGCGTGATGGCCACGCCCGGAGGTCCGAACACGACGGCTACTCAGTATCCGCCCACCTACGGTGAGGGATGTGGGGTGCACCTTGAGCCAGGGTCATCATCATGCTCCGATTCAAGTGGCAATCCTTTACCACAAAACGAAAGTGCAGGTTGGTGCACCGACCCTTGGTCCTACGTGAACCCCTGCGAATGTACGGCCAGTGACATGGCCCGCTCAACGTACTTTGGCCTCGAGCTCTACTACAGCTACAGCGTGTGTGGTGCCACGGACACGTACACTGAGAACCCATCCGCTGTGACCATCACTGACAGTGTGGGATGTCCCAGCCCACCACCGCCAGCGATCAGCCCTATGAACTGGCCATTCACAAGTGCCCTGCAGGAAGGCTGCGAGTGCGTCCCTTTGGCCGATATGTACTTGATGAGCTCCACAGATGCCTCCTGCGCGCAGGGAACTGGCAAGTGTGCGAACGCCAGCAGCGGCATGCTCACGGCAAACTATGGTGGCAGCTGCGGAATCCATGCAGAGCTCTTCAGCTCAAGCTGCTATGACCAGGACACAGGCAAGATGTGGGCAGACCAGTGTGAGGAGGGGTGGAGTGTTGGGTGCCGAGCAGCTTGGTGTGACAGGCCTTGGTGTTACGTGAATCCTTGCACATGCAGCTCGGTGTCAGACATCGCGGCGAGCCAATACTTTCCAGGGTCGACGCTCTACTACTCCTACGCGAACTGCAAGTCGATCGACACTTTCACTCCAGGCGGCAGTTCCGTGGACATTGCGTCCATCTGCCCCACAACCAGCGCCGGCCCGGCGACGACCAGCAGCGCTGGAACTGTGGGAGCATGGGCCTTCCTCACTGCGGCTTTGATGAACTTCATGACGCTTCTGGCTTGCTGAGGTTAATCACCAAAACTCAAGCATGCCTCTACTCACCGGCCTGATTGGCATTGAAGGCGACGAAGGCGCGCCTCATGTCGGCATCGCACTACGATTTGACGTTTAATGTGTCATCCGAAGAACTTGGCAGAAAAAGGAGAGACCCACACTGAATCCTTTGCGCCTGTCGCTTCATAATGACCGGTTTCATGGTTGTTCTTGCTTCAACATGTGAGATACCATAGTCGGTCATGTCCTACACTCCAACCTGCCACTTTTGGTAGATGGTCATTCTGTCTGCTGTGTCCCTTGTGGACTTTCTACATCGTGTGCTCAAGTGGAAAGCTTGTGCTTGGGTCTCGACGCGGCTGGAACAGGCAGCATTGCGATAAGGAGGGAGTCTGCACTTGAAACCAAATGCAGAGAGGTGCATGGAGCTTGAACTCCGGGTTTGGGTGATTGTTTCGGCTCCAGCATTTGCCAGCTGCGGTCCTGTCGTAGCGGGGATCTCAGCTAAGCCAGCATGTTGTGCAGGCAGCACGACGCACGAACACGACAGATTACGGCACATGTTCCCGCTTGTGGGAGCCAGCAGGGCAAGACTGAGGTTTCGGGTTGTTGCCAGCCTCAGCCACGAACCACATTTAGCAATGGGTTCCAAATGCACAGGCATGTAGAGATTTGGCAAACAAGACCGTTGAGCGGCAACTGAGCGGTACACATTGGTGCACATTTTCAATTTCGTGGCATCACCGATTCGCTCCGGGCTGCTGAGCTGCTGACCAGTGCAGGCAGGAGAAGGGGCACCTGGCAAAGGGCATATGCGTGCGGGACGGGCGTTTGGGCATCTGGGAGAGGGGCATCTGAGCCCTTCATAGACGGAGGACGTAGGACAAATGGAGATAAGTACACTCAGACGGCACCGCCGAACTCCGCAACAACCAAAAAACCACTCTTGCTAAGGGAAGAGTATCGATGGGCATTCTTTTCATTTCTATTCCCAATAAAATCCTCGAGGATCCCCGAAGCCCATCCCCTTAGTGTCTCCTTGAGCTAGGTAAGTCACATGTGAGGTCTAAGGTGGTCTCGGCCCACCTACTCGAAGAGCGAGTAGTCGAGGCTTGTGGAGCAATGGCGGTGCTCCCTGTTGCCATCCAGCCAGGAGCTTAAAAACGAACCGCGCCAAACAGCGGTCCGAGCGGTAGGACCGACCGTCGGTCACCTTAATCAGCCAGCTCTTTCTCTCCTAGGGTTGAGGGTTAAGGGTTTCAGCCTTACCAGGCCGCTGCGCCCAGAACCCTACTGTTCGCCTAGCCAGCCTCTTTCCCTCCTAGCTTTTATGGGTTTTGGGCGAAAGCAATGCATGGGCCGAGCACCTTTTTCTGCAGGCTTCACAGGGTACAGAGGTTCGGCATTGGGGCCGTGGCTGTTTGCCGAATGTCTCTGTGTTCGCTGTGACTTCCTTGCTCTGTTTCTTGACTGTGTCTGAGTTGTTTCCTGAATCTTGTTGGGTCGTGGCCGCACCCTCCAAATCTGCCCGAAGTCCGAGTAGTTCAATACTTCCTAAGGCAGACCATCAGTGAAGTGCAGAGCCACTACAAGAAGCTGCATGACCAGGCTGTGTATTCGAGTGTGCTTGACTGCGTTCTAGGGGGGCGACGCTCACCGCCTTTCTTCTAGCAAGCCTGCCAGGAATTTGCAGAACGTGCGCTACTAACGGCTGATATTGTTGACACTGTTGACACTGTTGACACTGTTGAAACTGTTGACGCTGTCGACACTGTTGACGCTGTTGACTTGTAGCAGCGCAATTCATGACTTCCAACATCTTTCCGGTGCCAGGTGTTGAGCCTTCAAAGCGAGAACCTGGACTGGCCGGGGATTGTACCTACTTCACAAGCCTGAGAGTTCGGTATCTTTGCGCACCGTGCGGGGTAACGAGCATCTGGGACCTCTAAAGCGACGCGTGAGGACCTGAAGAAGGAGCTTCAGGAGATGGGCGTGCGCTCCCACTCCAAGGCGCTGCAACGTGCCGAAGGCTTTTGTACTTTGGGAGCGGATGTCCCCATCGCGCTCCGTGTCTCTCTCGCTCTGATCTCTGGCATTCTCCGAGCGGCACACTCATTTTTTTTGGCCGAGATTCTCAGAGCGAGAAGATTCGAGAGGGCGGTTCCGTGAGGTGATGGAGTCCCTGATCAACGAGAACCACCGCCTGAAGGCGCCTCCCCGAGAGGAAGTTCCCAGGGCAGTTCTCGCTGCAACCCCGCTCTGGAGCTCAGGCGCAGATGGCGCAGGTGCGCGTCATCGAGGGGCTGAACCCGCCGGGCTGCGCCCCGCCGTCGCCCTAGCACTCTGCAGGGCTCCACAACACTCAGAGTAACAGTTACCTTACAGTTCCTTATAACTTATAGCTGTTCCGCACTTCTGCGCAGCTCCTGCTGTCGTCGCTGTTCGGATCGTGTTGGGGATGTTTGCTGGAAGGGCCTGGCAAAGGGTCTGCTTCCCCGCCAAACCAAGACGTCCTCATTGAACTCTGCCTCAGGGAGGAAGACGAGCTCATCTCCATCAAGACTGTGTCGTCTTGTGGCTGCATGAAGTTGTTCTGTACGCCACAGTATGTTGAAAGACCCGCCTCGAGAGAAGCTGAGCAGAAGTGACTGCGACACTCCCTTCTTCCCCACGTGTCCCAGGCTGGAAGGACCTGAAGTTCGGTCGCGGATTCGGAAGGCGGAGTGTGGTCAGTCAGTGCGTGTCAGTGTGGTGACGTCATCCGTTATCCTGAGATTCTCCCTCCTGACGTAAGGGGGGTCATGGCTCCTTGTGTCGAGTAGCATTGCCGGGGATGTTCTCCTAGCTTCATGCGCCAACTTGCAAGCTGACTTCACGACTGACAAAGCCGCATGCCCTGGGAGGTCAGCACGCAGGCGCCGTCTTGCAAGAGCAGCAGTATAGGAATGCGGACCAAAGTGGGCTTCTTGAGCTGTATCTGTCACCTGCGCTTGGCTCATTCTCTGCGATACTCACGCAGTCCTAGCTGTAGCTTAGCAAAGCCTCCTCTCTTGTGGCGAAATGTGGCGAAACTTATGCATCTTCCTTGAGGCGGTGCATGATGCTGTCCACATCCGGAAGTCATTCCCCCAGAGGATTTGGGTCCCTCCAGTGCTGTGGTTCCGGGATGGTTCCGGAAGGATTCCGCGACGTGGTTTCGTAGTTTGGCAAAGCTTCGCGGCCCGTCTCTCTGTGTCTCTGTCTCGCTGTCTCTCTCTGTCTCCCTCTGTCTCTCGCTGTCTCTCGCTGTCTCTCTCTGTCTCTCTCTGTCTCTCGCTGTCTCTCTCTGTCTCTCTCTGTCTCTCGCTGTCTCCCTCTGTCTCTCTCTGTCTCTCTCTGTCTCTCTCTGTCTCTCTCTGTCTCTCTCTGCCTCTCTCTGTCTCCCTCTGTCTCTCGCTGTCTCTCTCTGTCTCTCGCTGTCTCTCTCTGTCTCTCGCTGTCTCTCTCTGTCTCTCTCTGTCTCTCGCTGTCTCTCTCTGTCTCTCTCTGTCTCTCTCTGTCTCCCTCTGTCTCTCTCTGTCTCTCTCTGTCTCTCTCTGTCTCTCTCTGTCTCTCTCTGTCTCTCTCTGTCTCTCGCTGTCTCTCTCTGTCTCTCTCTGTCTCTCGCTGTCTCTCTCTGTCTCTCTCTGTCTCTCTCTGTCTCTCTCTGTCTCTCTCTGTCTCTCTCTGTCTCTCTCTGTCTCTACATGTATCCCAGGTCTCTCTCTGTCTCTCTCTGTCTCTCTGTGTCTCTCTCTGTCTCTCTCTGTCTCTCTCTGTCTCCCTCTGTCTCTCTCTGTCTCTCTGTGTCCCTCTCTGTCTCTCTCTGTCTCTCTCTGTCTCTCTCTGTCTCTCTCTGTCTCTCTCTGTCTCTCTCTGTCTCTCTCTGTTTCTCTCTGTCTCTCTCTGTCTCTCTCTGTCTCTCTGTGTCTCTCTGTGTCTCTCTTTTCTCTCTCTTTTCTCTCTCTTTTCTCTGTCTTTTCTCTCTCTTTTCTCTCTCTCTTTTCTCTCTATGTTCTCTCTTTTTTCTGTCTTTTCTGTCTCTTTTCTCTCTCTTTTCTGTCTCTTCTCTCTCTCTCTCTCTCTACGAGGCACATGATGAATGGAGAGGACGCTGCCGCGATCTCAGCCGTACCCATGCTTCATGCAAAGGTTTTGCAAGGGTGAAGAGGTTGGATCAAATTGTCGTCGCCCAGAGCCCAGAGTTTTATGTTCGACGGCGCGCGGGGACATTCCACAGTTTGTCTGAGGAGAGTGAAGATGGGATGCTGGCCAGCGACAAGATCAAGAAGCTCAAGACACGCGAAATCAAGTTGTCGGGCTTGGCAGTGTTATGCAGTGTTGTTTGGCTCTCCCAATCTTCACACCACCGGAGCTGTTTCCCCAATACGAAGTGCACGTGCTTAAGGCGTCTGTCTGAGGTTTTGTGGGAGATTGGAGGGGTTGAGGGGTGTGGGGGGGTTGAAGGGTTTGAGGGGTTTGCGGGGGTGGATTGTGGCGGAAGAGAGTGGGGGAGAGGATGGACCCCTTCGCAGACACGCCCCTGGAGCCCCCGCCGCCCGGGAGCCGAGAAGTGAGACAAAAGCGCTGAGAGGAGAGCAAAGAGACAAGCAAAAGAGGAAAAGGGAGAAGAGAATGTGTTCTCAGAGAGTCTCTCCTGCTTTCGAAATCGTTCCTTCATTTCTTCGAGGCCGCTGCTCGCCCGGAAGTCGATCTGCGGCCTGCCGGGAGCTCTCAGACCTCAGACCGAGACAGAGACAGCGAGAGAGAGAGAGAGAGAGCGAGAGCAAAAAGTGAGGTTCTGTTCCTGTCCTCACCCGAAACTGCCCCGAACCCCCCCCCCCCCCCAAACCCGGACAGAGAAGACACAGCATCGGCAGGGCTCGAGAAGCAGTTCTGCGCGCTGAGGTGTTTCCCGGTTGACATTCGAAGCACCGAGAAGGACGCTGCGTTGCCACAGCTTTGGTCGCTGGATGTCGCATGTCACAGCTTTCATGTTTGCGGGGCTCAGCCAGCCGGTCGCGCGTTTCGGGGAGCTCCGTTTCGGGGAGCTCCAGTACTTGCAATGCTTTGCAGGAGCGCCTTAGCAAGAGGTTTACCAACGGCCTCTTTTTCAAGTCGCGCGGGGCTCCAGAGAACGAGAGAAGAAGGGATACGAAGATAGAAGAGAAGAAGGGAGAAGAGTAGAGAGAAGAGTAGAGAGAAGAGTAGAGAGAAGAGTAGAGAGAAGAGTAGAGAGAAGAGGGAGGGAAGGAGAGAGAGCGAGAGAGCTCCCGCCACTGTCGTGGTGGTTGGGGGACCTAAAGAGACACGGCTCAGCCTCCTCTTCCGTCTTCATTCTTTTCATTCTCTTTGGAGACTCTGTGGAGAGGGAGGCTCTATCCCTCTCCTCAGCTGGTCTGGCCCATGGCCTCTGGCGTCAGAGAGGATAGGAGCGGCCCTTGTCTATATTTTTCCTTTGTCTTTCTCCAAGTTTCTCTCTCTCTCTCTCTCTCTCTTCTTTCTTCCGGCCTCCCAGGATCACCATGCTGGCCATCGCTGCCAACACGCTCTACCTGGGCCGATGCCCTTGACACGTGTGAACTTGCTGCGAACGTTGCTGCAAACCGCCTCTGCCACCGTTACATGTCTTCCAGCACTGTGGGCTGAGCTTTCAGCATCTCCAAGTTGCGAACTCCCATGCGCCGGTACCCTGACCCTGCCTGCAGTCGGCCAGTGGAATCTTGCATCATCGTTTGCTGCGCTGAAGAGGTTGGGCTGCCAACACGAACGCCTCCGACTCGGTTTTCGATGATTTCTCTTAGTTGCAAGAAGCACATGTGTGCCGGGCTTTGCGGCTAACACGTATAGCAGTTCTGCAGCCGAGCGTGAGCACTCCAATTTTTCCCTGTAGAAGTCCCCGCTGCAATCTGCGATTAGCCCTGGTCGAAGCAATAAAGACGTCTGGCAAGCAGAAGGCCCGCGGGCTGCTCCAAACTCTCAAGATCCAAAGAGGGTAAATTGCGCCAAAGCCCAGGTAATCAACAGCTTCAGACGCCTTCAAAACCTTCCAGTGGAAGTCCCCGGAGCGACTCGGCATATTGCGCTGTGTTCCATGCTGTTCCTAAAGAGCATGGGCCCTCAATTTGGTCTCAGTTTCGTCCTTTCTCTCTTTTTTTGCTTTCAGGTGGAGTTCGACATCGCTTTCACAGGCAGTGGGCCCAATTTGGGCAAGAGATCGCTGGAGAATCGGGTGTCAGCTTTCGTCAGGGCTTCCAGGATCCGGGAACTCAGCGCTTCCCGAGGAATGCAATCAAGTTTCTCGCATTTTCCGTGCTCTTTGTCCTCTTTTGCCAGCTTGGTTCGGGCTTGAGCTCCTCATCAAGATGATCGCCGATCGCATGCGCGGGCCCTTACAGGTGCCTAGTGTCAGCGGGCCAGGCAGAAGCTGACGACCATGTGGCATACAGTTCGTATGATCATGACTCCAGCTAGACCCGATCCATCCCGATCCCCCGATGTTGCCGGGGAGGCTTTGGGAGAGTTTCGGGGGGAAGTGGACTGAGCTGGAGGGGCTCAGGCTCGACCAGCGCTGCGATATGCGATGCTTCCATGCGATGTATACGTATAGACAGTTATATACATATGCGCACGTTCTCTGCGCGCCTGCTTCTCTCCGCGCCCGCTTTCGAGTTCTCCCCACCTTTTCTGAGAGAGAGAGAGAGAGATGCCCCTTCTTTCCCTTCCATCCGAGGCAGTTCTTCGTTGGGGAGGAGCGGTGCCAGCCTGAGCTCGGAGTTTGCGTTTGAGTGGCCTTCTTCCAGAGATGAGAGTGAGAGAGAGAGAGAGAGAGAGAGCGGGCCCCCTCAAGCCCAGCAGAAGAAGAAGAGAGAGAGCGAGAGCGAGAGCGAGAGCGAGAGCGAGAGCGAGAGCGAGAGCGAGAGCGAGAGCGAGAGCGAGAGCGAGAGCGAGAGCGAGAGAAGAAGAAGGAGAGGACAGAAAAAGAGGGGGAGAGAGCAGAGACAGGAGAATGGGAAAGAGAGGGAGGAAGAGTGAGAAAACGAGAAAAAACTAGATTGTAATCTTCTAATGATTCTAGTCTTTTGTTTTTCTGTTTTATTTCGCTCTCTCTCTCTCTTTCTCTCTCTCTCTCTTGCCCTGCCTTCTCCTCCCTCCTCTCTTCCTCTCTCTGTTCTGATCTGATCTTTTCTTCTCTTCTCTCCCAGTTACGAGACATCTCATCGCAGTACTTTCGGTGGCACTTCGTCTGCTTGTTTGTTTCTTTCTCTCTTTGTCAACATCGTTCTCCAATGAGGTTGGAGAGAGCAACGGAGAAGGAGTCAAACTAGGTACCGTGAGGAGTAGGAGAATAGTGCTCCATTTGTTTGGCTCTCGAATGCGCTGATGCTCTCTCGCTCTCTCTCCCAGTTCGTTGCAGAATTCCTTCTTCTCTTCCCTTCTGTCTTCTCCCACTTCGCGCCTTTCTTTCTTTCCTCCTCTACCCCTTTTTCTTCACTTGTCTTTCTTACATCTCCCCTTCTCATCTCCATCGTTCTCCATCCTTCTCCGTCCTTGTCCTTATTGTCGTTTACCACTCAGGAAAACAGAGCAAAGACAAGGAAAAACATAGCAAAAACAAGTGTGAAGGCAGCGACGACGGAGAAGGAGTTGTTCTCCCAGTCTTCTGCACTACCGCCTTCCTTCCTCCCCTATTCCACTTTCTGTCTCCTGCTCATATGTAGAGGGGGATAAGAATTTTCGAGGGCTGGAATGAAGAAGAGAATAGAAGAACAATAAGATAAGCGTTCAGAAACACTCCATCTCTTTCCATTTCTTTCCATATCTCTCCATCTCTCTACAGCTCTACTTGATTCGAAGAATTTGAGAGAAGAGAGGTGGAGAGGTGGAGAGGTGGAGAGGTGGAGAGGTGGGGAGGTGGAGAGGTGGAGAGGTGGAGAGGTGGAGAGGTGGAGACGTGGAGACGTGGAGAGGTGGAGAGGTGGAGAGGTGGTGGAGAGGTGGTGGAGTGGAAACGCAGAAGCAAAGAACCTCTCTCTGTGTTCATTAGGATGGGAATTGTGTGACATGCATTTCTGTGTCCTTTATGTACATACGTGCACTGTCCAAGGGCGTGGAATTGGTTCGACATGGCCTTGGTGGTGGAATCCTTCATCGGCCTTTTCTCCACAGGAGAGTCCAAGTCCTGCACTGTGCACTCTGCAAGTATTTGCAAGAAGCATCTGCAAGCAACATGGCTCAGCTCTGCTCCGCCAAGCTCCGCGGTTCTCGCAGGATCCAAGCTTTCCTTCTTGCGGATCTTCCGCGTCTTCCGCCTGGTCGGTCCCTCTGAGATTAAGATGCTCGAGGAAACCGTGCGTGCTGAGGAGATGGGCTGAGGAAATGTCGAACTGCGGATAAGTTGATGTTGAGTGCAGCCTGACGAAACGGAACCGAGTTGGGTCGATGATGGCCAATGATGGCCAATGCAGTCAGGCTGTAGGCACGACTCAGCATATAGGAACGGCCTCCAGCATCTTCTAGCACAAGCCGCACTCACTTTAAGTGTTTTAGCGAGTCTTGCATGGGAGTGTTTGCGAGATCGAGGTGCGGGTGGTGAAAGTCGTGCGGTCAGTGAAAGCCCTGGCACGGCTGCCGTGCGCTTAGAGATCTTTCGATTAACGACTTTTTGCCCAGGCGAAGACAGAAGCATGTTTGATACCTTTAGTTACATGGATCTGATGTCGCCAGAAAAGACCTGGCAATTGACTAATACAACCATGCTCAGAAGGAGCAGGCGAACGATTCCTGCAGCGCTCAAAGGGTCCAGGCAAAAGCGACGAAGACCAAGGAACCCGATTCCTAATCCACTTTCTGATAGGTCGGATTTGCGCCTGCGTTGTTTTAGGGAGAGCCCGGGACGGGAAGAGGGGGCGCAGAGGACCAGGGGAACCCTGAAGAACAACATCGGGGACCAACAGGCAAAATAATCATAAAGGAAGGAGCTATCTCATCTACATGCGAGCATGCGCATCTCTTGTTAGTGTGTTTGGCTCATTTTAGGGGTATCATGATCTGCACAATGGGGATTCCGTAGGTGTCGTGCCTTAATTGCATCACCACTAGGCAGGGGATTTTTGGCGGGAAAAATCGTAGGAACTTTATGTGGCACAAGCGAACGAAAGTTTGTAGGATCTTTATGTGGGTGCCAAAAACTAAGGGAACGCTGCAGGAAAACGCAAACCCACGTAAGGATCCCACTGAAAAAAACGCAGGGTTCCCCAGCTGGTTTCAGCGGCTCTGGTGCCCTAAGATACGACCGTTCTGCAAAACTTTAGACTCTCTAGACTGCTGCTCCCTCTCCTGCAGCAGTAGGAAAGCACCCATTCCAGCTAATTTAAACCGTTGCGGCAAGTGTGCCTGCAGAGACTGTCCTGGATGCTTGCAAGATCTTCATTCGAAAATATCTTTACCTGTCCAATTTCTTCTCTATTTTGTTCACTTAAGGCGGACGATGATCTTCGCCATTCTGAGCTCCTTTGCCACTCCCTCGGAACCATTCGAGCCATTGCTTCCAGTGCTTCTCCTCGTCTGTAGCAGGTTCTGCATGACATGCGCATTGGCTTCATTGTGCAATGCTTCGTTCAGTGCTTGAATTCACGAGGTCGACCTGCTCTGGGCATTCTTGGCACCCCGGCAAAAGCTTCTGCGGGACTGCCGAACTCAAATTTCCAAGAGCTGAGCCCGTAAAACCATCGTAAGCCTCAACATGTCATGCTTAGGCTTCCGATAGTTCTGAAGAAGTTTAGACGAGCTGAGAGACACATCTACTATCATCTACTGCATGTGCTGGTAGCAGACATGCGCAAATCTGGTGTCCAGGTGATCGTGTTGATCGTGTTCGTTTTTGCCATTGTCTTTGACAATGCAGTTGCCAGATCCCTGGACAAAAAAAGGGCTTGAATCGGGTAGCACAGTAGCAAAGGGCCTCGGGGGCAGCCCCCCTTTCTGCCAGGCAGACTATTTCGATGGGCTCACCGTGGACTGGAATGCGACCGACACAACCCTGGCACGCTACTTTGGGACCTGGGTGCTACCATTCGAGACTCCTGTATCCCGCTGGGCTTCGCTGTAGTGCATGCTGCACACATGAAGTGCGATATTTGAGGCCAGTGCAGTTGCCCCTCTCACTAGACGTCAAGCCTCAGCTTTGCCGTGTAGCAGATCCTGACTTGCTGACAGATCGAAGAAGTGGAGGCGTTGAATCAGCTGCGTTGGCCTAAGCTTTGCCTGATATTGTTTGCCTGCATGAGCCGACCTTGCATGCACCCGTATAAACCGGCAGACTCCGATAAGGCTTCCTACGACAGCTTCGTCCCCCGATCCTGGAGGGAAGTGTAGGAAATCGCGCTCAGGTTCGGAAACCTTCCCGAGACCATGATCTCCCTGTGGTCGGCCGTCAGTGGCGGCAACGACTGGATGAACTATGGAGACCTGGTCAGGTCGGCTTTATGTCTTGCCACTTGTTCAACACATGGTGTCCTCCTGAGTGTCAAAGCTCAAGTTCCAGAGCCACAGGAAAGCCGGCGGCTGGTTCTACTTCGGGCTCTTCAACTTCTACATTGCGTCCCAGCGGCTGCACCTGAGAGAACCCTCCCAACCTTGGCATCCGTAATCCACCAGCAGAAACCTACCAAAGGAGCTGGAAAGGGAGCTCTCGTTAGCCGAGCGCCCTGAAGCGGCTGCTTACCTATGTTTCACGAAGGCTGTCTTGGCTCCAAATCCAACCTCAAAAGGGTGCACCCTTCAAATTCCCCTTCCTGGGAAGCATTTGCCTCTCTAATGCTTCCGAGGTTCTGTGTGGTCGGCATGTTTAACGCCGCGGGCTTGACTACCGAAGGTCAACAGTTGAAGTGGGATGCCTGAGGTATCTTAGGTATATTGAGCTGTTCTGAGCAAAGCATTGATCGACGTTTGAAGCATAGCCGTGTAGCACAAGACGGGTTCCATAGCTCCTTCTCGGAGCATGAATGCAGGGCTGGCCGCGGAGTTTGTGGGAACACTTAGAATGCCCTAGCAGCTACCTTTGAAGTTCCCGGTTACCTCCCAACTCACTCGGCTAGATGATTGGGACGATTGCCGCCCCCTGAAGCCAAATGCGTGTCGCTCCACATTTCCGCCGTTGGTTGGAGTGCATGGTGGTTTCTTCCTGTCCCTGGCATGCTGGCTAGAACGTGAGGCATCGTGAGACCAAGCCAGGTCGCTCGCGACAATGCGAATTCTGGGTTGACGGGGGCGTTGTGTGCTTGAGCATGTGTACAAAGGCGCGCCGCTTGACTAGGTGCCGTTGACCTGCTTAGAGTGTTATGAATTGGCTGACAATCGCGTGCCCAGGTCGTCACGGGCGTGTTCGTGGATTCTGCGGTGTGTGTCCGCACCGGCGATGAAGTCGTTCAAGGCACCTCTTGCCACCTCATGTCACCACGTGGCACCCAACAAACCGCCTCACACCGCGAAAGCTGTGGCTGCCCAAAGGCTCAGCTACTGAACCGCCCAGAAGGTAGAACTTCGAGAAACAGCTTGGAGCCGACCGACTGGTAGAAAAGAAATGAAAAGAAGAACCTCATCCAAATTCTCGCACCCACCATGAAATCCCTGAGCCCCGAGCGCACCTCGCCAAAGCAAACCCTCAACTCGGCCTCTCGACAAAGAGCACCCTTCCGAGAAACCGAAGGTCCCTGGAACCCCCAAGAGCCAGAGAACGCCGCATCCTCAAAGGCTCGAGGTACCCTGAGCGCCACGCCCAAATTGAGCCCTAAACCACCACTAAAAGAGTGCCACCAGCCCTCGAAGACTTTCCCCAGAGCCCGTCAGCGAGCTGCGGAGCCGGGGAGCAGGGGAGCGCTTTGGAGAGCTCGATTTGGAGAGCGCGATGGGGAGGGCGGCGGGCGGCCCCGAAGGGCATCAAAAGCCCCCTCTTCTATGGGACCGATTTGGCCACCTCCGCTTCAAGTTTCATGGGGCCTTTGTGACTGGGCCCACGCCTCGCAAATCTGCACAGGATCGAGAGAGACCCACAGGAATCCGGAGAAGCCATGGAAATTCACAGAGCCATTCACAACAAACATCGATGGATGAGTTCTAGAGATGGTGAGCGAAGTTGAATGAATCCCAAAGCCCAGTTTACCACTTCAGCAATCCGTAGTTTCCCCCTCCTCTTCGGCAGGTTACCTGGACGACCTGCGGCAAACGACGGAGGAACGCAGGGAGATGCGCTTCGTGAGAATTGAACATAGGCCATTGGATCTGTTTGGTCTCGGGAAAATTTCGGGGGGTTCGTTTTCGACATTTGCAGGATTCTCAGAATTGCTCAGGATTCTGAAGAATGATGGTCCTCCGAGATCCTCGAACCTCAGTCTCTATGACTCTATGAGCCTGGGATCCTCCAATCTCAAACCCCCAAACTTTGACAGGCATGCAGAGAGTCACAGGAGGCGTTGCACCGGATGCTTTTGTCTTAATGTTTACACGAGTCCTCCGCCAGGAGATCAAAGGCTTCTTCAAAGATGCCGACGCCGATGGTTCGGGACAGCTTTTGATTTCTGATGTTGCATTTTTTGTTGCATGTTTCTGTGCTGCTCTGTAACAGCGCCTTGGCCGCGTGGACTCAGTGGACTCTGAGAGCACTTTTCTCCCCATTTTTCCAAAAGGGACTGCCCAAAGAAAACTTGAGAGAGTCGGACTGAGGTGCAAAACAGGTGAGAAGGGGCCGAACACAATGTGGCAACTCTGGGATGTGTCCTGGGTCGTGCTTGACTGTGTGTTCTCTCGTGAGCCTGAGAAGCCAGAGATGAGGAGCGGCGTTTAGCGCAGTTGCAGAATGTTGCAAGATGTTGCGAGAGCGCTCAGAGCAAAACTAGACTCCGGCTGTTCGAGATGTCGCTTTGCGTCATCGGTAGACCTTTCCGCTCTCAAGAGACATCAAGACATTTTCGAGGGCGCCGATGCGCCCCCAAGAAGAGCGTTCTCCTGTCGGGATGGGGCTTGGCGTACTCTGCACAGCACGCAAATGACTCAGAGATGATTGGGGTTTGAGGCGCTACGAAGAGAGTTTTGTAGCTGATTGTTGTAGGACTCGACTTCGCAGTTGCGCGGAGTTGAGCGGGGTCTGTGACTCACTGTCTCATGCCGACCTCAACTCTGCCAGGAACTTTGAACTGGGATGAGTTCCAATCGCACATGAAGAATCCTGCGGTAAAGGCCGATGTGTTTGGAGAGCGTTTTCCTTGGGCAGGGGTGTGGGGGATGGGGATAAATTTCCTCCTTCCTCGGCTTACAGGAGCGCTCTCTGAGCTGTTTGTGGGGGGGCGGGAGGGACAGGCGGCTCGGATCTTTCTTTTCTGAAACTCGCAGCGGAGGCTTATTTCTCAGGGCTTGACATCGACCCGGAGGAGGCAACGTGGGTCCGTGTGTCCGGTTCAAGTTTTAGAGAACAGTGCGAAGACGGTTGGAGAGAAAACGGCGGGTATTGGGGCTCTGGGGTTCTGAGCCTGAGAGACACCCACGCTTCCCACACGGTATTCTGAGAGCTTTGGGTCCAGGCATGTAAGGCAGAGACAAGCACGTTTCTGATTTGCTGGACTGTGGAGAGTGAGCTTCTTAAACTTTGGCGAGCCCAACCCCAGAGATGACATCCTTGCGCAATCTCCACGCTGCCCGTAGACCGACTTGCCCCAAAGACTCGTTGTGAGGCCGAGATCATCTTCACGATATTGGATGGTGACAAGAGCAAGGACGCGCAGATTTGGGATTGTTTTTAGGTGGCTGTAAGGAAAGGCCATATGCATCCTGGTAAGGAGATCAAGATCGATGAGTTCGTCAATGGGACCATGAAGTTGAAGGCAGCATGTGGACAGAATGCGCCGGAAGATGCCAGGAAGGCTTCCAGGAAGGCTTCCAGTAAACGGCACAGCTGGTTCAGTCGCATACCCAATGCACACCAGAAGCTCCATTGGATTCTGTAGGTGACATCTTCTTTAGACAGATTGAAAGCTTTTTATGGAAGGGCTCCGCAACAAAGCTGGACCTCATGGCACTCATGTATGACCAGACGAGGCCCGCTGCGTTCGTGTATGCCATTGGTCGCGCTGATTCGTTGACGTGCCCTTCAGTTGTACGCCTTCGGAGAAGCACGCATCTGTGGCCATTGACCAACTGATTCTGCTTCGGGATGCTTGGGGCGTAATTTCTGGGACGAACCTGGCCGAAGAATGGAAAGCTTCTTCAAAGATCTGAGTTTGTGAGCTCTGGCATACTCATGAAGGGGCCGTTGCGAGCGCGCAACTCGCAGGGGCACACCAGAGGCAGCAGCCGCGCAAGTCGCACACACGGTGCCAGGGTGCAGAGAGATTGTTTATGGCGCTGTGCAGGCAAAGCATGAAGTTCGATGCCTTGTGCGAGTTCGTTGAAGATGAACTGGTCGACATCAAGCGCAGACTGGTGCTCGCCCGCAGCTTAGTGCCTCGTGCAGTCCAAGACGTCATAAAGAAGGAGAGGGAGTGGTAACGGAGCGCAGTCGGGGCACAGTAGGAGCATATGGAGCGGCGGGTGTGTTTCAGAAAGTCAGCGAGTTCGAGGGGCTCACCCCTCTTTTCCTATTTTTTCGGCTCTCAAGCCGTAGAGTTCCCAGAGTCTAGAGTCTCATCCGGAAATTCAGGAGTTTCCGGGATGTATCTCCCCCGAACGCATGGAGTATTTGAGGGGTAGTGCTCAGCCCATCAGTAAGGCACGGCAGAAGGAGGCCCTCAGGGAGGAGCGGAACGAGCGGAACGAGCGGAACGAGCGGGGACCCATAAGCCCGGAGCGGCCCGTCTACGCCGGCGCCTCGCCGCCCCGAGCCACGCGGGCGGCACGGCTGCACCGCTTCCCCTTTTTTTGAGGGAGAGCATCTCAAGGATGGCGGTTCTCTCATGTTCTCGTTGACCGTCTTCGTTGGAAATATCATGGAATCAACTGTGGACCGCAGTGTGTTTTGAGTATTTTTGAGTGCTATGTTGCTCTTTTCTGGTGCATGATTAGCTCCGGGTGCATCGGGGTGCCAGGTGCGCATCGACACTACGAGAGATCTGCCTCGAGCCACGGCAGCTTTGCTGAAGTTTTGGGGCATCCGTCGTTGTTTCTCACGGTTTCTCACCTTTTTTGCTTGTTCTGTGCATGTGGGGAGCTGGGGTGGGCGAGTTTCTTACGGAGTCTATGCCAATCACTTCGTCACAAGGACTGAGTAAAAACGGACCACAGGCCGTCGCAAACCTCTCTCCTGGTACCTCCGAATCCCAGGCTGTACCACGCCGTGGATGAGGAGCCCGAATGTGCATTGAAAGTGCCGGAGCAAGGGAAGGCTTAGGGGAGGATCCCTCAACTGCCCTGAATTTTGGCCGATGTTGGCCTTCGTACTCCTTGTCCTCCTGGCAATGGCTTCTAGGCTCCTCTCCGTGTGTGCGGGGGGATGTCCTGGGCATTGTGATAGGTATCTGCGAGCCCTGAGTAGGGAAAGAGAGAAGCAGCACATATGCGTAGACTGTACACATGCTTGCATATGTGTTTCTATATATATATACACATATAGATAGAGATATATATGCTTATGTGAATTATAGAGACGCTCGTGCAATGCTTGACCAGGGGCCATCGCTACTTTTCTTTTGCCGTTGCCATGCAGCGCACTTGTCATGTTGAGATTGTTGGTTCATGCTGGAGAGGGCTGTACTTGCCGGCATTTAGGTCTCGTCATCTGGCAGATATCCTCAGTAAGTGCAAGTCCTCTGCAATGGATGCAGGAGACCAGCGATGATTGTGAAATGTTGTGAGTTCCACAGCTTTGCAAATGCATCTGCTGACCCAGGGAGGTGGCAAGGCATAGCTAACGTAGCGAACACCGTGTGGGAGGGATGTGATGTGCCCTTGCCCGGGTTGTTGAAATTTCCTCATTTGCTTCGAGTGAACGGAAACAGGGGTGCTGGCTCTTCGATGTGGCATCCTTCTATGCAAGACACTTAATTTTTCGACTTCGGTCATAAAGCGTCATAGTATACTGTTCCGGTTTCGCACGTGCTTGAGATGAGATCATGAGTTGTCTGAGTGCTGCCGTAACGAGACCAAGTTGTACACGGATAGGCTACGCGCACCATGAGATTCCGTTGGGGTCTCGATTTCTCGAGTCTCTCGAGAACTCAGTACGAACATCCCCTCAGCCGCAGCCCGACAGTCAGCAAGAAAGTGGTTTTAATTCGGCTCCTACATTATTTGGACCACAAAGCGAGGGCGAAGCCCTACGCTTAGGCCTCTTCGGCACAATTTGACAGCGGACGCTGGAGGCGCAGCGTCGTCGTCTGTCTTCATTCGCCATCATCTGCCATGCGTCGTCATACGTCCTCGTAGTTCCTCATATTTCGTCATCCAATGTCTCCGCCACTCTCCACCCGGTAGTTCGTGGCTTCCCTTGGCGACATGGCTTGGCCAGCTTGGCCTTGATCCTCCAACGTGGTCTCGCTTCAACACAGTTTCACTTGCACGGCAGCGGTTGCGGCATGGGACCAGGCAGCATCTTGGGGCATCTTGGGGCAGCTGCCTGGTTGAAAAAAAATGTAAGCGTACTTTTTTGCATCACGGTGCCTCAACCTGCCTGGTCTATTGCGCCGGCTTTGTCCCATGTCCGCGAATGCGGAGATTCTGACGCCGCTTTGTGGAAAAGTGGGGCTTATAGTTCAGTTGGACGGAGAATGAGACGTATCTGCCAAGCCCCAACCTTAGGTGCGGGGAGGTTGACTCCTGGGCAGTTGCTTCCTGTTGCATCTTGATGGGGCAATCTGGAGTGCAAGTCAGGGCTTCTTCGATTATCCAGTTGTGGACCTTGCTCCCAACACTGCGCCTGGCCTGTTCCGCGCGAAGTCGGAGCAGCCAACAAAGATGGCACTTGCATGACTTGATGCCAGCGCCACGGCCTCTGCACCTGGACGTGACTTGGGTTTTCGGCTCAAGCTCCAGAATCTGCAGCCTATGCCAATACGGGGAATGCAGCGTGCTACCGTGTTAAACAGGTGCACGGGCTCGTACAAGAGTAACTTAGACTTGCTACTCTAGCAAACCCTACTGTGGTGCTCTCTCTATGCACGACTTCTGTGGCATTTGCCCAATGTCAGCTAAAACGGGTGTTTGTAAACCGTGCAGCTGACCACGGGCTTGCCGGAGCGCAAAATTGCGCGATCCCTGGAAAGACTTTGTCCGCCAAGAGAGGGGGGGGGTAACGCCCCAAAGTCCCGCAAAAGATTGTTCTTGCAGAAGGCGTGGACGGGGTTGGGGCAGTTGTTTGGACGTGATGCTGTGCCCAGGAGAGGCCTCTTGTGCTTGATTCTTGGCGCTTGGTTGGGTTCGAAGCTGAGGGCGGCAAAATCGCTTTAGGAGGAGCTCTCTTTCTTCGTGCCATCCTTTATCCTTTGGAGACGTGTGGCTCGAAGCTTGCAAAACTGCAACATGTTGCAGTTTGCCCAGCAAGCATCCTCTGATACTGCTAGTCATGCCTAAACCTGACAGTTGCTGATTAAGTGCCGACCCTGTACAGGTCTGCAGTGCGATCGAACTGGAAACGAAGGCACCATCCAACCACGGTCAACAGTGCAATACAAGAGCAGCATAGCTGCGACAGCCCGCTGTTCGCCCGCTGTTCGCCCGCCATATCCGGCAGACGTTCTCCTCGACGCAGCGGTCGTGCCCTTTGCCTTTGCCTGCCATGGCTGACCTTCCGCAGGAGATGATGACCCTGACTTTTTGTGGTCTTGAGTGCATGTAGGAGGACTTGACTGGCTTGAGTGGCGTGTGCATCAGCCTATCCAGCAGCAGTTCAAGCAAGGCTGCATGACTGATTCATAGCACCAGCTCTGCAGCTGTATAGAACCAATGGAATCAGTATAATCCTCTCAGGGCCGTGCCTAAGAAACCGGCATAGAACGGGCCTCCAAAATTGTCCTCAAGTCTAGGAGAAGCGGCGCAAGGTGGAGCCACCGGACCGAATTGAAGACTGCTGCCGAGTTTCAGGATGCCCATCACGTGAGAGTCCAAATTATGAAGCCCAAGAGCGTCCGAGAAACCAAACTGGGGCCTTCTCGGGAAGCCTTGGGAAGCCTTCCTATTCCCCGAGGCCCTGGCCCAGCTTCCCGGGCCTTGGCTGTGGCGAGCGGGAGGGTAGAGGCGAAAGTGGCTCCGTGCCCCTGCGCGCGGTGGCCAAGGCAGAGACCTCTGGAAGCTGCCATTCCACATCATGCCACGAACATGCTGGGCTCATGTGCGTTTTTGAATAGATGTTGTTTTCTCCCAATCCACAGAGGACATGCAGCGACTCTGCTATGTTCAAAGGTGGCAGATGCCACGTGCCCGGATGCACCAGCGGCTGGGCCCCTCGGCATCTTGTGCCTGGAACGGGCAAGGTACGGTATCTCACGGGTGGAGGCGGAGAGGTATCTGAACATCATCACCCCCTAACCCCAAACGCACGGTTCTTTTCGAGCCCCCAAATCGGCCTTGCTCTTGAAGGTGTTGCACAAGAAGTACAAACACACCGCACACGTCGACATACACGGACGTATGCATGCATAGGTAGGTACGTACGTGCATATGTATCTGTATGTATGCTTGAAAATGAGCGAATACAGAAAGAATGTATACACATACATATATATATGTATATGTATATGTATATGTATATGTATATGTATATGTTTATGTATATGTATATGTATATGTATATGTATATGTATATATGTATTTTTCTGTATATACATATATACACATATATATATATGTATATGTATATATATATATATGCATATATATATATATGTATATATATATATATGTATATATATATATATATGTATGCATATATATACACACACATATGGCTCTCAAGAACCTGTCTTGCCACTCCATTTATGCACTGCCCAGAAGCAAACCACAGAGGCCCATTGCATCAGGCATTGCGCTCCCTGGCACGAGGGATGTGTTCAGGTCGCGTGGAGTGTCGGGAGCTTTTGTTGGGTGATCAAAGTCTGGGGCTGTCTTCTCGGGTTCGGCTTGGTGTGACCTTTGTGAGTGCACTATTTTTGCTCTTAGACTTCGTTCTTGGCAATGTCAGTCGGCGACTTCGGAAGCATGTGTGGGGGGGGGGGGGGGGGGGATGGCTGCGCTCTTGTGATTGCAGGGTAGGCTGGCCTCATCCGGGTTCGCTTTGTCGATGTCGTGGTGTCTTCTTCTCCTTCAAAAGAGATCTCGAAGGTTTCTGGATCACATGGTGGATCAGCTGAACTCCCACGCGCAGCTGCGGGTGTCCCTTCAGGCATCGGGAGATCGGGAAGTCGCCTGCCATCTCCATCTGCTCAGCACCTCTCATTGCTCTAAGCATCTTGCTCAGCATCTTGCTCAGCATCTTGCTCGGCATGTTGCTCAGCATGTTGCTCAGCATCTCTCAGCCCCTCTCTTCCTTCCTCTCTTTCTCGCTTCCTCTCTTCGAGTTCCTTTTTGGTGCTCTTTCAAAGAGGTCTGGCTGGGTGACGCCTGTATCGAGCCGCATTCCAACGAGTCCCGGGCCTCGGGGTGCGACGGCCAGGCCGGTGGTTTTTCCAGAAACCCGCTCACATCATACCCAGTGGTTTCGGTAGTGAGTCACAAGATGGGACATGTATTGGGGGTAGGCTGGTTTCGCTGTGCTTTCTCTGTGCTTTCCTGTGGAGGTTGTGGCTCTGGCCGGCGCCGCCTTGGGTGCCGCCGTGAAGGAGAGGGCAGTGGTGTGGCGCGGGTTTCCATTGGCCCTGCCTATGTACTCGTATACATGTGCAATCATGTGCATATATATATATATATAGATAGATAGATATATGTGTATGAGCTTGTCCCGTGCGCCAGCGCCACGCTTCGGTGGCTAAATTCGCGCCGGAAGAAGGAAGGAAGAGAAAGATCTGCAGAGGACCCTGCCATGGCTGCCCTGGGGCCTCCGCGTTTTCATGAAAGCCACCTGTTTGTTTGACTCATGCTACCTATATGTGCCCCTAACATGTCTTTATTTCTTGCACAAGCCTTCATATACCCACTTTGTGTCACTTGGAGGGCTTAACATGTATGTACATAAACTTTACGTGTGAACATGCAGCCCCTCCATGTGATTGTAGCTGTATCTTTTTGGTCTCTTACACATTCTAGCATGTTCTAGAACATGATAGCTGTATTTCTCCACAGGGTATAGGTTAGAGGTTCAGGACTCCCTGCAACACACTATAATAAGAAAGAGGTAAGGAAGGACAGCTATTGGGACAGCCGCACTTATCATGTGCAGTTCACTAGCATAGATGTCTTTATTCGTGCTCCAAAGCCGATTTATGTATTGTGAGTTGCCCTTATACACTCTGAAAGTGTGTGTGTGTGTGTGTGGGTTGCTCAGTCTGTCTTGTTTTCTGTTTGTCACTTCCCTTACAGATCCTTACATTCATATAGCACTGAAAAAGCCTGTTGGAAGCAAAGCTCCGGCTTGTCATTCACAACCGTAGTATATATATCTATATATATATATATATATACATATATCTGTTCACGAAAAGTTTATCTGCAAAAGCTGCCCTGGAAGACTTGCAAGGGCGTTTACAAGTATCTCCACAGCTGTGTTCCCATGAAACTGGTGAGCTTTAAGCATTTGATGGGCTCTACAGCCGGTTGATGTATACGTATGAGGCCGGTCCGAGGCCTCCTTCGGTTGAACTTCAGGGCGCGATGAGTTTGCTTGCCCGCTGGAGACTAACATCAGCTTGCAATGTCGATTTGCCGCCGTTCTGAGGGGTTCCTATCACAGCTGCGACTTGTCATTGCCCGCCAACCATACCATTTACAAGACGAGCGGATCACCGTGGAAGGCTTGGACGTTCCAAGCTGCGTCGCTCGGAGGGAATGTAAGAGAATTGGCGCGTGAAAACACCTGTATAAATTACAGGTGTCTAACGCTAGACGGCAACATCTGCGCAGAGCGGTGTGCTCAAAAACACCCACCTAAGACTACTTGTTTTTGGGGAGCCGGGGAGGAGGCGGGGGGGGGGGGGACACGCAGCCTTTACATCCCCTCCCCCACCCCCAGAGGCCCCCAAGACGGAGAGGTTTATAAGCACCTGGCTTGTTTGTACGCTGGGCTTGTTTTACACAAAGCGCCCAAGTTGTCAACCGGTTACCATGAACATGCGACTGCCATGCAGACGATGAGACCCTACGTCCGAAAACAATATGCATCTCAGCCCGCCGTGGAGATTACGCATTCCCTGTAGCAATTGTAGGTTTGGACTTGCAGCAAGCTGCGTAAAAATGCGGGCTCCTTCTTGTACATGTATATGAATTGCTTTCTTGGTTGTGTATTCTCCTGTTTTGTGTGCAGTTGTGTGTGTGTGTGTGTGTGTGTGTGCAGTTGTGTGTGTGTGTGTGTGTGTGTGTGACCTGCGTGGCAAGCCCCCCACAAGTAGCGAAGCCCAGCTTTCCATGGAATCTTGAAAGACTCGCCCAGACACATGAGCTGCTTGGAGAATCCCGGTGGAATGTTTTGAGCGCGGGCATTAACGCCATGTAGGAGCTGCTGGACGGCGCGCATGGGCAACGCAGGAGCGGGCTTACTTTTGATGGTGTTCGCCCATTTCGCCCAAATAGCCCTATTCACTCCGCATCGTTGTGAAAAACACCGAGGGCCAATGGCGGATCTTTTCGCTTCTGCGCGCCGCTGGATGAGGCCGTGGGGATGGCACATGGCAAAGGGATGGCACGGGGCAGGGGGCAACACGGAGGCGTGGAGGAGTGAGGAGACCTGACGGGACTCGCCGAGGCCTTCACAGATCTCCGACTGGAGTTCCCCCAGCTGGGAGAGAAGGCCCAGATCTCCTCATCTGTTCTCTCTAAAAGGAGAGGTGCATCCGTGGTGAGTCAGTGGAGTTTCGGGAGGGTTTGAGAGAAATCGAGCCAAACGTAGCAAAACTCTGTCTCTTGCTTTTCTGGTTTCCCGGGCGTTTCTTCGTTTCTTCGGACCTGAGGCGCTCGGCACGGAGATTGACTTGGCCCCCTATGGCCCCTCGGCGTAAGGAACAAACAACCCGGAAGCTTCCCCATGTAGGTTTTTTCTTCTTTGAGGGGGGCCGGGGGGTGGGGGCGAGTAAAAAAAAGGCTTCCCCAACCTCAGCTCTGCTTTCCATCCTCAGATCGGTTCGACGGTGAAGGCCCCCCCCCCCTCCCAGGCTGCTTTCCACGTGGTGGCCGCCGACAGATTGGCTCCTTTCGTGCCCTCAGACCCGCCAACGTCCAGCATGAGATGGTAGAGTCCTCTCCTGTGTGAGGTTTATGGGGTGCAGTTCGGGGCCGGAGGTTAGCTGACTCCCCGTTGAACGCCACCCATCTTCTACATGCTACCCCTTCCAAAGCCCCCGACAAGAGCTATTCTGGAATGTCCCTGCAGGTACCGAGCTGACAGAGGTCTTTCTGCATGCCTTTGCCGAGGCTTTAGGCGCGTCGCTCAAGGTGCGACGGGTGCCGGTGCTTTCTGATGCCTGCTCGGGACAAGTAGATGAAGCTCTCAGGCCTTTTGTAGAGAGTTGGGGCTCAATGACATGTGCTTTCTCGGACTCGGTTTGCATTAATCAGATGCAGGCAGCTGCCAAGAGGCAATGTGAGGGCACCAGCTCTTTACAGTTGGGGCCCTCGTAACAGGAACTTTAAGATGGATTGCGTGATGTCAGACAGCCCCATCTCGAGCGATGCATCGAGCAACAGGTCGGCCTTAAGTATCCAGAGCTTTCCTAATTGATAATAGTCTGAAGCGCTGACGCCTCAAATCTTTACCGCAATTTACACCACTTTGCTGTTTCTCTGCTTTCGAGCGAAAGGTCCGCAAGGTCCGTGGCGACAACGCCCATCACATAGTCGAGGCTTGACGATCTCATGTTGAGGATGGCAGTGTGCAAGCTTGACTAAGAATTTTGGTACCTTTCCGTACCAGTAGTCAGTAGCGCAGTTGGAGGTCTTTCCAGAGAATCAGCTTGAAGCTAAGTGTCAGCATGATGCCGCGGACACCCTACAAGCCCTGCGTCCCACAAGCCCTAAACTGCATTGAGTTTGCTCTTTGCTTTGGGTGGTCAGTGCTGGGCGAGGCCACCTTCAAGAGCCTGGCGCGGTGCCTTCGCAGCGCCCTCGACGCCTTCAGCGGCGCTTCCGAAGGAGCCTTCGCCTTCGCCTCGGCGGCAAAGCCAAGGCGTGGCGGGAAGCAGCGCAGCACCAAGGCGCGGAAACGAAGGGGAGGACCTAGAGCAGCATCTGGGCAAGCTTTTGGCAGTGCCCAAGATCTCTGCTGGTGTTCGGGGGGGCAGAGATGGGCACATTCGGGCATTGCGGCGGGTGGCGATGACTACAGGCAGTTGCGAAGTCCTTGCGTAGCCTTCCACTGAGAATGCAGAGGTTTGATAGCGAGGAGACACCCTCCAAAGCCCATCCTGTGAAGCCATAAGAGCAGGAGACGAGCATTGACGTCTCAATTGATCTTGACACGGCTGCTGAAGCTGATGCCAACGGGCTGCTCATCGCAAGAAGCAGGCTTGAACTTGGATAGCCACTCTTAGGCGAAAGCATGGACCTGAGCTGCTGAGTGGATGTGGGTTCTGGACGACATTGGGTAACGGAGATTATCTGAGGCTCGCCACTGGGCTCCGCTTCCTCGACGTGCTGATCGGGCGGTTACGGGCTGCGGCTGGCGTGGGCTTGCGCGCCTGCTGCCGAGGCCCACGGCTCCCTTCCTGTTGGATTATGGATGTTGCCTGTGCTCATCGTACTTCCCCCCTCAGCCCTGACGGGCACAGTGCAGGGCTGCACGTGCTCAGGGGACACCTGGATCGATGACCATCACAGCACTGAGGACGTGATGATCACGGTCGCCTGCCGAGATCCGAGGGGGTGCGGGCAGGCTGTGGGGTAGTGATGGGCAGGCCGTCAGCGCGGTTGTATTGTCGGGTGAAAATCATTCGGGGAGCATCTCCGTATCCGTCGGCATCACAAAGGAAGAGAGGCAGCATAAGGGAACGGAAAGGACCAGTAGCAGGGTTCTGGATGCCTGGTGTACTGTAGAAGCTGCCAGAGGCCACTTACCCGACAGCTAAGAAAGGTGAACCGGTTTCTGTGATTCCTTGAGGCCTGTGTTGTCTTTTTCGGTTTTTTTTATATTCAGTTCTTCTGGGAGGTCGGCAAGGGCTTGGCTGAAGCGCTGGGCGATAAGGCCAGGCAATTGCGTCTGAGGCGTTTCCATTTGCCCGAGACTCTTTCGTCCTATGCCGGATGCATCTCCCTCGTTCCGAAAGCTTTCATGAACTCTCATGTTTCCGAGATTTGGTGGGTCGTTGGAGGCCGGCTGCACACGCATGGCGTGGGCCGAAGGCGCCGAGGGTGCTGCGCAGGCTGGCTCTTGGGAACCACGGGCGTGCAAGATTCTCCAAGAATTTGCCGCGTCTACAGAGTGACGCAAGAAACGTGCGTTGCAAGAAGCGGTTTCTATTGGAGTTTGGAACTCTCAAAAATCCGTCAAAGCGCATGCCTCGTAACGTGGTGGAGATGCAGCGAGATCCCAGGTGCTCTGCGTGATGGACCTCTCAAACCGGCCTTCCTTCTGCCGCTGAGACTTCGTGGTGTTTTGTTTGGGATGTTTGGCGGATGACAGAGGATACCCTATTGATACATAAGTATTGATATGCTCGGGGTCATGAGCGCCGAATTTGTTCCCACTGCTGCAGCGATGTGATGTTATGAGAAGGGCTGATGCAGCCTGGAAAGTGTTCTCGTGCCGCTATAGCGCCAAAGGCAGCGATCTGCGGCTGCATGCGAAAGACGAAGAATTCGTCGACGATGTGTCCGTGGAGAGTCTCGGCATGCAGCGTGTTTCCAAGATGCCCTGATCTTCCGGTAGGAGTTGCAACGAAACTAAAGAGTTTGGGGGGGCGGGAACACCTTCAGTTGATCCTGCCAAGTGAAGTTCAGAGCCAGAAAGCATCAGATGGATTATGCTTGGTCTTGCAGGATGGTGCCCCTGCTAGAGCCAGAAATGAGAAAAATAGACGTAAGTCCGAAGATCGTTCCGATCATGCTGCAGCCGTCCATGAGAGGATGATCCACCACTGTTTCGAGTCCTTCGCCAGTGCCTCGGAAAGCTTTTCGCGCGACTCCGCCTTAGAATAGAGCTTCTGCGAAGATCTCGCTCATACCTCATACTCCTCTTGGCGGGAGTGCTTTCAAATGGTCACTCCTTCGAGCTGCGGAACCCAATTTATGTAATTGCCTTAATTGCCCGCTTGCATTGAGTATAGAAGTCCGGCTCTGACGATGAACAGCTGTGATCGGGCGTCATTTGGACAGTGCTTCGGAAGGTCATGAACGGGCTCATGACCGTGCACCTGCTGCAGGCGCTCCAGAGTCAGAGTGCAGCGGGTGTGCAGTATCATGGCAAGACTTGTGACGCTACTAGGCCCCGGTTCGTGCACGCTTATCCAAATCGCGCTCGGTCCCACCTTTTGAGGCTTTTGCATCGTCCCACTGACGTGAGAAACGTAGAATGGGGCTCTTCGTGCTGACGTGGTGCTCCCTCAAGTGCTGAACTGCGCTGTTTGGCCTGGGATCGCGCGTGCTCGCACAGTTCCATCTGAGAGCAGGGCCTCGCCCCAACTGCCCCGCCCCGCCCTAAAGCCCTTTCCCTCTTCGCAAGACTCTGCGCCGAGGCGCCCGAAGCAACGGCGGCGTCCGCTCGAGAGGTGGCGCTTGCCGCGGCGGAGGCAGTGGCCGAGGGCTTCTCTGGGACCCGAATAGTGAAAAGAGCCGTTCGGGAGGGGTCAAAGCCACAAGTGGAGAAGTGTGAAAGGATGCGGAAGGTTTTGAGTGAATGTTGAGTTGTCCTGAGTGCCTTGCCCCCCAGGCCCTGGGAAGCGCGTTGAAGCAGCGGCTTGCTTCGCATTTTTCGCCGTCTTGGGGAGTCTGGGCTTAGAGATGCCGCCTCAAGTCCTGGTCCCCGCAGCCTTTGAAACAGGTTTGTGAGGGCTGTGAGCCCGCACTCGAACAAGAATCTCGTGGAATTTTGTGTAAGCTCGAATTGGCGCCTCACAGCTTTGCCGCAAACTTTGCCCACACCGAGAAGACCCAAAAGACCCTGAGGTGCGTCCTTCTGGACCCGCGGCGGGCCGGGATGACGGCGAGCTCGAAGGGCACGCTGTCGACGTAGGGCCGACAGGACCTCGAAAAAAAAATGGCGGAGTGCTGTGCTGTTTCCGTGCTGTTTCCGTGCTGGCTGTGCAGGCCAGGTGGCCAGGCTAGAAAGCCAGTCCGATCGGGTAAAGAAACCAAAAACGAGGCCGCCGAAGGGCGGCAAAAGGCCAAAGCTTCCGGCTGCTCGCATGGCAAGTCTATAAAACGGGGAGACCATGCTGACCACCTGCATCAAGCCTGCATCCTTGTGGGCCCAAGCCGGTTTCAATTTTTTATCTACCTCCCCTCCATCCAACATCCTTGTGCCCTTCGAAGCACCCATACGTGAATTGGAAACATTCTGTTCAAGTCTGTCTTTTGTGTCATTCTTTTCGTGCTTCTGCTTCTCTCTGCGCAGTCCGAGCAGCATCCCCGAGGTTTTGGGAGCACCGAGTTATGCCTGCGCCTGTCGTTTTGGGCGTTCTTCTCCTCGTGTTCCCGGAATGCTTGTTGGGCTACAAGGTTCTTTCCAATGAAGCAAAGACGGCCAGCTTTTGCCAGCAGCAGCCCACCCGGTCGAGCCCAGTAGAATGTGCTGACGTCCTCCAAGAGGTCACGTGCGACACAACCTGGTCGAGCGCGTGCCCGGGGCTGGAGAATCCGCTCGGCAGCGAGTTCAACGATGCGAAGATCTCCGTGCTTTGTGAAGACTTGTGCACCCAAAAGGCGGGGCTTGGAGTGGTGTACTCATTCCTTCATGTATGTGCACACTGTTCGCCGAGCGAGAGACAGCGAGAAAGAGACAAAGATCAACATCAAAGGGGGCCCTAAATCAAACTGACCAATGCGTCTTGAGCCGCCCGGCTCTCACCACGGACAGACCGGCGGGCCAGCGTGGCCGGAGCCTTCCCTCTTGGTGGGTTCCTTCGCTGTGCAAAGAAAAAGACTTCTCTCCATGGTTGTTGGGGAGAACGGCTGTGAGGTTTAGGGGGAAACCCCACGATGTATGTCACTCGTCACAATGCAGAACAAGTCAGGTGTCGACAACCTTTGACGCCGGCTTGGCCCATATCCGGAGAGTTTAAGATAGGCGGGCAGGAATGAAAGGCATAAACATTTTTTTTGTGTAATTCGCGGGGGGGGATGCCTGACATGCACGTTTTTCCTGCCTGACCCAGAAGGGAAATACATGCCTTCTTGCATGGTCCTTGGTTACGGGTATTCGTGCCTGCTTATTGGGGGGAAGACTCCCTTTGGGTGCCAAGTCAGTGTGCGTTTCCCCGTTGTTCGCTCAGTCTCACGCCGACTCTCAGTGACGATCCGGGCGCGCCCAGTGCGCGATGGCCACTTCCCTGGCCTTCATGCCCTGCACAAGAAGAAGAAGAAGAAGAAGAAGAAGAAGAAGAAGAAGAAGAAGAAAAAGAAGAAGTTGGTGGAGAGAGAGCGAGAGAGCG